CAGGGATGATCCAGGAGGGATCTGCTGGACCAGGGATGGTCCTGGAGGGATCTGCTGGACCAGGGGCAATCCAGGAGGGATCTGCTGGACAAGGAGTGATCCAGGAGGGATCTGCTGGACCAGGGATGATCCAGGACGGATTTGGTGGACAAGGGATGGTCCAGGAGGGATCTGGTGGGCAAGGGATAATCCAAAAGGGATCTGCTGGATCAGGGATGAGCCAGGAGGGATCTGCTGGACAAGGGATGGTCCAGGAGGGATCTGCTGCCCCAGGAGAGGACAAGGAGTGATCCAGGAGGGATCTGCTGGAGCAGGGGCAATCCAGGAGGGATCTGCTGGATCAGGGATGGTCCAGGAGGGATCTGCTGCCCCAGGAGAGGACAAGGGATGATCCAAAAGGGATCTGCTGGACCAGGGATGATCCAGGATGCATTTGGTGGACGAGGGATGGTCCAGGAGGGATCTGGTGGGCCAGGGGTGATCCAGGAGGGATCTGCTGGATCAGGGATGGTCCAGGAGGGATCTGGTGGGCCAGGGGTGATCCAGGAGGGATCTGCTGGATCAGGGATGGTCCAGGAGGGATCTGGTGGGCCAGGGGTGATCCAGGAGGGATCTGCTGGATCAGGGATGGTCCAGGAGGGATCTGGTGGGCCAGGGGTGATCCAGGAGGGATCTGCTGGATCAGGGATGGTCCAGGAGGGATCTGGTGGGCCAGGGGTGATCCAGGAGGGATCTGCTGGACCAGGGATGATCCAGGAGGGATTTGGTGGATGAGGGATGGTCCAGGAGGGATCTGGTGGGCCAGGGGTGATCCAGGAGGGATCTGCTGCTCTCCAGGGGTGCCACCGGAGCCCCAACTCCCCCCAGCCCGCCCTGCCCAGCCCTGGGAAGGGTTTCCCGGTGGATTTGGGGGTCGGGCAGGGCCGGAGGAGGAGGAGGAAGGGGAGGAAGGGCCTTACATGGGGTTGCCCTGCCCGTCACACTGGAGCTGCAGCTTCTCCCCCTCCCGCGGGTACTGAGGGTGCGGCTCGATCCGGGCCGTGGGTTTGTCTGCAGAAGGAGAAACACGGCGGGGTGAGGGCCTGGCACCCCGAAAACTGACCCTGGAACCCCGAAAACTGACCCTGGAACCCCAAAAACTGACCCTGGCACCCCGAAAACTGACCCTGGCACCACGAAAACTCACCCTGGAACCCTGAAAACTGACCCTGAAACCACAAAAACTGACCCTGGAACCCCAAAAACTGACCCTGGCACCCTGAAAACTGACCCTGGCACCCTGAAAACTGACCCTGGCACCACGAAAACTGACCCTGGAACCCCAAAAACTGACCCTGGCACCCTGAAAACTGACCCTGGCACCACGAAAACTGAGCCTGAAACCACAAAAACTGACCCTGGAACCCCGAAAACTGACCCTGGCACCCCGAAAACTGACCCTGGCACCACAAAAACTCACCCTGGAACCCTGAAAACTGACCCTGAAACCACAAAAACTGACCCTGGAACCCCAAAAACTCACCCTGGCACCCCGAAAACTGACCCTGGCACCACGAAAACTCACCCTGGAACCCTGAAAACTGACCCTGAAACCACAAAAACTGACCCTGGCACCCCGAAAACTGACCCTGGCACCACGAAAACTCACCCTGGAACCCTGAAAACTGACCCTGAAACCACAAAAACTGACCCTGGAACCCCAAAAACTGACCCTGGCACCCTGAAAACTGACCCTGGCACCCTGAAAACTGACCCTGGCACCACGAAAACTGACCCTGGAACCCCAAAAACTGACCCTGGCACCCTGAAAACTGACCCTGGCACCCTGAAAACTGACCCTGGCACCACGAAAACTGACCCTGGTACCCCAAAAACTGACCCTGGCACCCTGAAAACTGACCCTGGCACCCCGAAAACTGAGCCTGAAACCACAAAAACTGACCCTGGAACCCCGAAAACTGACCCTGGCACCACGAAAACTGACCCTGGCACCCCGAAAACTCACCCTGGCACCCTGAAAACTCACCCTGGAACCCCAAAAACTCACCCTGGAACCCCAAAAACTCACCCTGGCACCCCAAAAACTGACCCTGAAACCACAAAAACTCACCCTGGCACCCCAAAAACTGACCCTGAAACCACAAAAACTCACCCCAGAACCCCAAAAACTCACCCTGAAACCCCAAAAACTGACCTTGAACCCCCAAAAACTGACCTTGAAACCACAAAAACTCACCCTGGCACCCCAAAAACTGACCCCGGCACCCGGAAAACTCACCCTGGAACCCCAAAGACTCACCCTGGCACCCCAAAAACTGATCCTGGAATGCCAAAAACTGACCCTGGCACCCCAAAAAATGACTCAGGCAACTCAAAATCTGACCCTGACTTCTCAAACCCCACCTTGTCCCTCAGCCTGTCGCCACCTCAGGGGACAGGCAGGACATGGGAGATGGTGCAGGCAGGGACAGGTCCCAGGGAGATGGTGCAGGCAGGGACAGGTCCCAGGGAGATGGTGCAGGCAGGACATGGGAGATGGTGCAGGCAGGGACAGGTCCCAGGGACTTGGGGACAGGCAGGACACAGGGACAAGTCCAGAGACTTGGGGACAGGCAGGACAGGGGAGATGGTGCAGGCAGGACACAGGGACAAGGACTTGGGGACAGGCAGGACACAGGGACAAGTCCCAGGGAGTTGGGGACAGGCAGGACATGGGAGATGATGCAGGCAGGGACAAGTCCCAGGGACTTGGGGACAGGGACAAGTCCCAGGGAGATGGTGCAGGCAGGGACAAGTCCAGGGACTTGGGGACAGGCAGGACAGGGGAGATGGTGCAGGCAGGACACAGGGACAAGGACTTGGGGACAGGCAGGACACTGGGACAAATCCCAGGGAGATGGTGCAGGCAGGGACAAGTCCAGGGACTTGGGGACAGGCAGGACAGGGGAGGTGGGGCAGGTAGGACACAGGGACAAGGACTTGGGGACAGGCAGGACACAGGGACAAGGACTTGGGGACAGACAGGACACAGGGACAAGTCCCAGGGAGTTGGGGACAGGCAGGACACAGGGACAAGTCCCAGGGACTTGGGGACAGGCAGGACAGGGGAGATGATGCAGGCAGGGACAAGTCCAGGGAGATGGGGACAGGTAGGGACGAGTCCCAGGGATATGGGGACAGGCAGGACACAGGGACAAGTCCCAGGGAGTTGGGGACAGGCAGGACACAGGGACAAGTCCCAGGGACTTGGGGACAGGCAGGACAGAGGGACAAGTCCCAAGGAGATGGTGACAGGCAGGACACAGGGACAAGGACCTGGGGACAGGCAGGACACAGGGACAAGTCCCAGGGACTTGGGGACAGACAGGACACAGGGACAAGGACTTGAGGACAGGCAGGACAGAGGGACAAGGACTTGGGGACAGGCAGGTCACAGGGACAAGTCCCAGGGACTTGGGGACAGGCAGGACACTGGGAGATGATGCAGGCAGGACACAGGGACAAGGACTTGGGGACAGGCAGGACAGAGGGACAAGTCCCAGGGACTTGGGGACAGGCAGGTCACAGGGACAAGGACTTGGGGACAGGCAGGACACAGGGACAAGACCCAGGGACTTGGGGACAGGCAGGACACTGGGACAAGTCTCAGGGACATGGTGCAGGCAGGACACAGGGACAAGGACCTGGGGACAGGCAGGACACAGGGACAAGTCCCAGGGACTTGGGCACAGGCAGGCCACCGGTGCCAGGCGCAGGGGGTCCCCCGTGTGCCCGCCCTGGTGGCCCAGCACACACGTGTGCCCCCCGTCACGCCGCGATCACGCGTGTGGTGCCCGCCGGACCCCCCCCCTCGCCCCCTGTGCCGCCCCCCCCGTGCCACGTACAGTGGACCTGCAGCTTCTCGGTGGTGGACCTCTCGGAGTTCTGCAGGGACTCGTGGTCCACCGAGCAGGTCACCTCGGCCCCGTTCTCCTCCTTGGTCACCCGGAACTCCACCCGGCTGCTCACCGTGAACGTCTTCCCGTTGGGGTCCTCCAGCACCTCCACGCCCGTGTCTGCGGGGACGGGGGACGAGGGGGCTCCTCAGGGCTCAGGGGACACCACGGCGAGGTCATGTGGGTCACCTTGTCCCCACGGTGTCCCCCCAAACCCCACCTGACCCCCGCAGGATGTGTCTGAGGTGGGAGGGACCCACCAGGACCATCCCCAGGCAGGGGACAGGGGGGCCCTCAGAGCTCAGGGGACACCACGATGAGGCCACAGCGGCCACTTTGTCCCCACGGTGTTCCCCCAAACCCCACCTGACCCCCACAGGACCACGGGATGTGCCCATTGGGAGGGACCCACCAGGACCGTCCCAAAGAGGTGTGATGAAGGCAGGGGACAGGGGGGCCCTCAGGGCTCAGGGGACACCACGATGAGGCCACAGCGGCCACTTTGTCCCCACGGTGTTCCCCCAAACCCCACCTGACCCCCACAGGACCACGGGATGTGCCCATTGGGAGGGACCCACCAGGACCGTCCCAAAGAGGTGTGATGAAGGCAGGGGACGAGGGGGGCCCTCAGGGCTCAGGGGGCACCACGGCGAGGTCATGTGGGTCACCTTGTCCCCACGGTGTCCCCACGGTGTCCCCCCAAACCCCACCTGACCCCCACAGGATGTGTCCAAGTTGGGAAGGACCCACCAGGACTGTCCCAAAGAGGTGTGACCAAGGCAGGGGACGAGGGGGGCCCTCAGGGCTCAGGGGACACCACGACGAGGTCAGTGGTCACTTTGTCCCCACGGTGTCCCCAGACCCCACAGGACCACGGGATGTGTCTGAGGTGGGAGGGACCCACCAGGACCATCCCCAGGCAGGGGATGAGGGGGGCCCTCAGAGCTCAGGGGACACCACGGCAAGGTCACAGTGGTCACTTTGTCCCCACGGTGTCCCCCCAAACCCCACCTGACCCCCGCAGGACCACGGGATGTGTCTGAGGTGGGAGGGACCCACCAGGACCATCCCCAAAGAGGTGTGACCAAGGCAGGGGACGAGGGGGGCCCTCAGGGCTCAGGGGGCACCACGGCGAGGTCATGTGGGTCACCTTGTCCCCACGGTGTCCCCACAGTGTCCCCCCCAACACCCACAGGACCACAGGGCTGCCCCTCGGTTGCCCCCCCATGGTTGGCACCCACCCTTGAGCTCCTGGTTGCCCCCCCAGGGTTGGCACCCACCCTTGAGCTCCTGGTTGCCCCCCCAGGGTTGGCACCCACCCTTGAGCTCCCCATTGCCCCCCCAGGGTTGGCACCCACCCTTGAGCTCCCCATTGCCCCCCCCCGCAGTTGGCACCCACCCTTGAGCTTGTGGTTGCCCCCTGGTTGCCCCTTGGTTGCCCCCCTGCAGTTGGCACCCACCCTTGAGCTCCTGGTTGCCCCCTGGTTGCCCCCCCAGGGTTGGCACCCACCCTTGAGCTCGTGGTTGCCCCCCCAGGGTTGGCACCCACCCTTGAGCTCGCGGTTGCCCCCCTGCAGTTGGCACCCACCCTTGAGCTCGCGGTTGCCCCTCGGTTGCCCTCCCCGTGGTTGGCACCCACCCTTGAGCTCGCAGTTGCCCCCCCAGGGTTGGCACCCACCCTTGAGCTCCTGGTTGCCCCCCCAGGGTTGGCACCCACCCTTGAGCTCCTGGTTGCCCCCCC